GACTTTATAATAATCACAATTGATACATTTCACGGAAAACAAGTTCATTCCGGCTACAGCGGGCTTGATGCGAATCGTTCCTCATTAAATTTCTTTAATTACCTTCATTCGTTCTCCGGAACACGGCTGTTAAATTGAATTTTCGATAAAACTTAGCTTTTCCAAGAGAAGCTGGGTGAAATATCACTTAGAGATGTCCAAGAAACGAACTGAAAAATATATCCGTGCGTCTGACAAATATCGTGGCTGACAAACAAACCACCATCGAGAAACAAGAAACCGGGGCGAGGGGGGGATGAAAAAAGAGAGATTGCGAAAGGGGTAGACGAAATTCCAGAGCGAGGCAGTAAATTCCGTCGTCGCGGCGATATTTTCACCGTGCGCGACATTCGTCGAATATGTCCGCCCCCTGCGTGCCACCCTTCGCCCGCACCCTTTCCGATGCACGCCAGGATGAAATTGCGAGAAAAAAAAGGCCGTTTCTCAACTCGAAGTAAGTGGTGCATTCCTCCGTTTTCTATTTCCCCTTCGCCCCCTCTTCAAATTCACCCCCTTCCCCACTTTCGAAACTGATCCTCGCTTCGTAGCTGGCCAACCCTCGAAATCCACCCGCGTACTCGTCGAGAAAGGAACACAACTCGTGCGATTTAAGCAGGAACGTAGAATCGCGGGGGTGGGAGGGGGTTGGTCGAGTGGGGCTAAGTAAGCTTAGCGTGTCACCCTGAAGAGAGGATTTTCTCTTCCTCCTCTGTCCTCTTCCCTCTCCTTCTTCCGCGCTTTTTTTTCCTTCTTCCGTTTGTTTTAATCAAATGCACCCTGTAGAAAGGAGATTTTATTAAAACGAGTGCGGCTTCGAAGGACCTGGCTCTTTCTTTTTTCGAGAGCGCCTCGAGAACTGGCTTCCTGGAGATTGTTTTTTCCTTCTCTTTCCTTTAACTATCAAGGTTTGGCGATAGAGAGAGATGGTTCTTTGTAAAAGGATAATTTGAAATAGTATGTCGGATCATGCATTGCATTGACTATAACTACTGCCGATAATATTGCCTGACCAAGCATTGATTATATCTACTTGCCAGTCAAAGGTTCCGCCCAGTGCATTATAATTTCCCGATCCTTTTACGAATAGGAAGATATTAAACGTAGAGGGCGCCGCATAGAAATACTAATCTTGCCTTTTAGAATCCAGTTTGCGTTCACACGATTCAGCTTGGAAATGAAAATCCTTGGGGTTTGAGAATCGAGGGCAACGCGAGGCGTGCTGCGAGGATATATATCCAGGGAGATCTAATCGAGAGAGAAGAAGGGTGCTCGTGCTGCATCCCGCTGCATTTCCAGAGTGAATCATGCCGCGATACAATCGCCGGTAGCTCCTCGTACTTGCCACCAATACGCTCGCCGTTCTCTGTGCTCTCGTCGATGAACGTCGACGGCGAATCCATTTGTATCCTCTTTATATCAAGATGCAATCTGACGATTGGTAAAACGACCGTGCGATTTACTCGAGTGTTCTCCAGCTTGCTGAGCATTCTTTATCGCTCGCTCGCTCGCTCGCGATTACGGTAAAGCAGCGACGGATACAGCTGGCTGCTGAAATCTCGTAAGAGATTCGCATTTCGAGGATTCAAGATCGTTTAATTGTCTATCGCAATCGGTGCCAATTTAAGTCTCCGTTTCGCTACTTGGCTGGAAGAAAAGTCGGAAGGCGATAAAGCGTCGTTGAATCAGAGCGCACCGTGCGTCGCCGACTCTCCGGACGGTATATGCGAAATAATTAATAGCGCGAAATTGTAATCCCCGAAGGTTGGACCGGATGGACGCGCGCAAGACAAATGGCATAGAAACCAGCTCGGATGTAATCTCTCCATACGTTGGCTAGATATCCGGATGGCATTCAACGAATACGCAGATCCGTCGATATCCTTCCATTATCTCGAAACTAGTGTGCGCTGCTTATAGACCATTCACCGCGAGATTCTCTTCGTTCGACGATATTTAGTTATCGATTCCATTTCGCATCCCCGTAAATCTCTTCGCTGGTAAACAAATCATTGAACGAACGCATCGCCAGATACAGAGGAAAGTAGAATAAGTAGTCGAATGATCAGACAAGTAGAAGAAACTCGTTATACATTCAGTTACTTTAATACAGCTACAATAAAAAGTGACATATCCAGCCTCGTACAATAACTGGCTTCTATTTTCGTTGCAATTTTTATCATGCAGATTAAATCACGTAAAATAGAATCGGTATCCACGTAAAGGTGCGCTTAAACGTGCCTCGATTTCCAACCAGTCTATTCACCAGCTACTCGACGGAATGCATAGCGCACGCCTCTAAAGCGTCTGGAAAATTATTGGCCGTTTCTCTACTTACATAAGCAATTTCATTGGATCCACCAGCCGTGGACGTGTCGTTCGGTAGCCGGGTATCCTGGAAAGGGGAACAACGGTAACGGGAGATTCGCAGATAACGCCGGTTCAACAAACGATCCAGAATTCACGATCGTGACTACGGGATCCCGCGTATTTCATTCTCGAAGTAATCCTCGAATAATCCTTTGATTTATGAAGACCTACGTTCAGTTGTTATTCGTAAGCCACTGAGTCAGTCTCCGATTTAATCGATCGGTAATTTTAATAAGGTTACGTTTTTGGATGCTCCTTTTTTTAGGCGTCGAAAGAGCCCCGAGCAACGGGTTGAAAGTTTATCGAAGATAATATGAAATAATAAGGAGCAAAGGAAAGATTCGGATGGGGGGTAGTTAGGTTGTTTCCATAAAGGGGTTCTTCGGCAACGGTCCACCATAGTAATCGGGCTCTTAGGTTCGATCGCGTTAGACGGCCGGGTAATTGCGGGATACATTCTATTTTACAATCTCCTCGGCAACTCCCACTTGCCGTCCGTTCGCTCGTTCTCGCCCGGTCCTCCGGTAATTGCGCATATTCACCGGTTGCTCGGCAACCTTCGGGGCACTGAGTCGGGTGTACCGGCATCCCGGGACCGGGATGATGCGAAACCAGCTACGCAAATACGTCCTCCAAGGCCGAGAACCGATTAAAATAGGACCGGATCGACCGGTCATCCCTCGAATCCCCTTCCGACCAATCCAAACACCAACCCCGCTTTTTACTCATGAATTTTCGAAACTCTATCGTTCCTTCTCACCCTCCTCTTATGGCAAGCTGGAGAAATTTTTTTCTCTCCACCGTGGAATATTTGCGCGAAGGAAGAAATGTTGTTCCGAGAAACAGGAGAAATATTAAAAGTATTAAATTAAGGGCTGTAACGTATACCGTAAAAGCCGTCCATTTACAGACCACCGGGTACGAAGAATGAAATTTTCTGCGCCAGTTCCAATTTCACACGCGATACAATGTAGAATTTTTTTGTTGAGACCATACCGGTACGTTTGTACAATTTTATTCAGATATTCAAAGTTTGTACAACAAAGAACCTTACAATTGTTTACGATCTTACGTTTGTCCGATATTGAACGTAGGATTAAAACACGCAATTTCTGGCATACGTTATCGGAACAGGTTTTCATAGAAAGGTGGAAGGATAACAATCGTAAATGGAAATTCAGGTCGCGTTTAATTAAAGATCGAATGTTAACACGATTCGCTAATTAGCCTTCCTTTAATCCTCGGGGCTTACGTCGAATTCGTTCCGGCGTTTTAATTGTCTCGTCGGTCGAAACGTTTCCGAGCTGAAAACAGTTGGATAAATATTAATCAGAGAATTTATCGCGAGAATCATTTTAACGATGACGTACGTTCTCTACGGAAACTTGATTAATCCGCGATGAAAAGGATGAGGAATTAGAAAAATACTCGGTGACGAAACGATCCACGAAGGATTTCGTGTATTCCCCGACATCGTTAAACCTACGCCAACAGGAGTAAAGAAGGAAAGGAAAAAGAAAGAAACTGTTCTACACCCTCCAGGACGTCCCCTGATCCGTGGAGAGGCAGAGGGATGAACAGAGAAGAAGGAGGAGGAGGGTTGAATGGGAGAGAAAAGTGAACGATGCGCTATCGCGAACGACGCAGACGATACGAGCGGTTAGACGACGTCCGAGAATAAGCGTCGAGATTATAAGGTACGCATACAAAGCGTCGCGGGGGTTGGAGGTAGAGACGCGCAGCGTCCTCCTCTCTCTTATTCGTGGGAACACGTGGACAGAGAGGAAGATAGGAGAGCTCGGGACGGACAAGGATCGTAGCCTGTTGGATGAGAAGAAGAAGAAGAGAAACGGAGCAAAAAGCTGGAAAACAGAGAGGAAGAAAGAGGGTTAAATTGAAGGCGAAAAGGAAAAATCCGGAGGAAGAGAGACAGCCAGGGGGTTGAAGAAAAATGTTAGATAGAAAGAGCAGGCTGGTTTTGGGTAGAAAAAGAGAAAGAGAAAAAGCAACGCGAGCGATGCGCTATCGCAAAACCCTGCCAGCGAACACGGCGCGGCACAACGCCGGGGTCGACGCTATCGATTGGCGTCGGCGTTTCCTCCACGTCGCTATTTGCCCGCCGCCGACGTCTCCTTTCTCTTTCTCCCTATCCCTCTCGACTCACCCTCTTGCAGAATCTCACCTCTCTCTCCCTCTCTATTTCCCTCCCACGTTCTCACCTCCGCCACTCTCGACCACCACCCTCTGTCTCTATTTACTCGGAACTTTCTGTCAGCCTACCTCGTTGCCCCATGCGACTTCCTCTCTCTGTCTACCTCCGCTATTGTTCCCCTCCAGGAAACCTCTCAACCACCCTTCGCCCTCAACCACGTCCTCTCCTCGTCCATCCAACCCTCCCGCCGTTGATAGCTGTACGTTGGTCCTTCGTTGCTCTCTCTGCTACCACCACCATCACCACCACCCCCGCACCCCCTTCTCGCCTGGTCCGACTGCTTTCCATCCGACGCGGTAACAGGTGTTGCTCCGGCCCCGAACTCGTACAAAATCGATGGCCAAGAGCCACCATCGGCGTCGCGGCTAGGGGTGGCTAGGGGTTGTGTGCGTTCCCCTACCGATTCCACCCTCTTGCTCAGTTTCCTCGTTCCTACGCTCGCATTCAACGCTCGATCGGGAAAGGGAAGCTTGTGGCAGCAGCTCGCTTGTGGAGGTGGAACGGAGCAAAAGCGAAACGGAGAAAGGCTCCCTACCGATAGAGAGGGTGTAAGAGGGAAAGACGAAGGAAGCTGCACGAACCGAGGTGTGCGAAGGACGCAGGCGTCCAGGACGCGAGGCGACGCTGCTCGACGACGCTGCATTGGCAGTTGCACCCCAGCCACACCCGGTACGAGCCATGTAGTCGGGCTACCCTCCACCGCGATACACGGCGGACAATTGTTGCTTCTGCGCCCACAGGTGGTACATCTTCGTCTTCGATTTTCGTACTGCTAGACGACGCGCGGTCCGTCTCTCGCACGTCCAGCTCTAACCACCGTAATCCGCGGACACGAGTCTGGAAAGCTCGCTCGACCACGCGCCTCGTCTGCACGAAACCAGCACTCTACTCCACGTCCAGCCCTCGTGCCGATACGATTCCTCCTCGTCGTTCTTCGTTGCGTGCCGCTGCTTCGAATCGTCGTGGTCGTCGTGGTTACGCTTCGTCGTATCGTGCGCGTCCGTATACCCTGCGACCATTTCGCAAAAAAGCCTTTTTCTTATCGAAGCTTGTGCGGTGAACGAAGAAATAACTCTGTGCTGCTGAATCAAGGGAAGAAGAAGAAGAAGAAGAGTGAAAAAAAGAAGGGAAAAATCGAGGAAGCATAAAAGCGTACGTGGCTCGTCGACCCCGAAGCTCGGATGATCCGAACAGGCCGCACGAGGGCAGAGTTGTAGCTTCACGCGGTTCTACGCGATCCTCTTTTCCCGGTGCTTCCCGTCGTGCCCAGGGTGAAAAAAGCACGGACAGAGGGTGAAGAAAAAGCTTGCTTCGTTCGCGAGACGCAGCAAGACGCAGAGGGGAGAGGGGACCACTTACCCAGAGGGAGGTTATCGACTACACACGTAAGGCGACAGCGCACACGTACGGATACACAAACATCGCGGACCTGTTGTCCAACTTGTTGCTCGTCCCTGCAAAAGGCACACCCGCCTGCCTCGCACAACCAGTTTTCGAAAAATAAGCGACCCGAGCTAGACAGCCAGCTAAATATCAACCTAACGTCGATCGGATCCGACGAGCCTGGCAGAGCAGCCTGCCACGCTCTACCCTTCAGCTACCTCGCTTTCCCTCGCCGGGCAGCCTGATAAATCAATCCCAAGCTGACCCCAAAAGTCCACCCTTAACTGGATAATTATCTTCTTTGCTTCCACACAGACGAGGGACGAGGATAAAGCTCAACAAGTGTTTGCTTTGATTTTCTATCGCTCAAAAGTTTGCTTCGAGGAAGGGAGGCGGGGTGGTTCGCCAGTGTTCGCCAGGGATATCCGTCGTTCTCGAAATCGGTGAGATGAGGGTATCGTCGCGAGTACGGACACGCCCGACCACCACGGTACCGAAGAAGCCGAGTGTTGCCGGCAGAATGGAACGCTGCTCGGACCAGCCGGGCGAGTAGACGGTTTTAAAAAAAATTTTTTTTTAATAAAAAAAATATGTTCACGAGAGACACGAGACTAAAACATTTCACGAACCAAAGAAAATACGATACCTGTATAATGTACGAGTGAATTACCGAAGTGGTGGGGGTCTTGACAAAGAAAACTCGTGGCGTCGACTAAATATATTATACACAGATGTAGGTGTACGGATTGTTTAGATTCCGTAGTTATAAAGGATGAACGTAGCGATCGGTAGATACGATCGGTACGAAGGCGTGAGGAAACGGAAAACAGGGCCGAAGTTAGATGATTAAGAGGGATTAAACGGGATCGATCGAAGCGAGTACCCGAAGCACCACGTAATCTTCCAGCCGTGAATACAACGAAAGCAATACTACAAACAAGGTAAAGCAACAAAGAAGAAACGAAGAAGAAGAAGAAGAAGAAAAAAATAAAAGAGAAGCTAAAGGCAAGCGGCACTCTGTTCGCGCCGTACAACTCCGAGTCACCTTTCGACGAGCCAATATATTTACTGGACATCCTCGTTCAAGAAAGTTTCACCCAAGCCGTTTGGACTCGATGAGTTTCGACTGACACTCGCTTCGCCGAAAGATATTTTAATATAAAACGTATACACCTGTATCTATAGATATATATAGAGAGAGAGACACACAGACGCGCGTGACGCGTGTCTATAGAAAAGGCATATAAGATAGACGTATAGATACGGAGCTGTTTTGTAAGCGATCGTGCAACGACATCTAGAATTAAAATAACCGCCCCCTCAATCGCGCCGCGATAACCTCTGATCGGAATCGACGTTTCCGCTAGAGCTGCTCTTCGCCGGACACACCGGACGGAAGTGGCGCATAACCTGAATCGATGCGACATCAACAGCGTTGAACGAGGATTGTTCTTCCGAAGAGATCCACCCGCGAGAGAGGACCAAACGAAAAATTCAATCGCGTTTTGGTTAATCGTCTAAGGGAGACCCGAGGAGGAGGAGGATGCAGTGAACAATGAGGAACAACTACTTAGGTTGAAAGAAATTCGTCAGAGAATCGAATCGCATCTTCGGTTCCTGGTGGCCTCCACGGAGACCACCAGGACGATATTTTACATCGACCAAAGGACCGTCGTCTGTTCTCCAACGTACCACGAAGGATCCTCTTCGATCAGTGAAGCAGGGACGATAAATAATTCAGAAAGAGGAAACTTGTGTCGAGACTTGATGCGCCACTCGGTGTTTCGTAAACCATCTACCCCGAAGAGCCGTGAAATCGCGCGGACGTTGAAGCAGTTCGGTTATCCGCGAGCTTTTCGCTAAATTTTTTTCATCGAAAATAAGAGAAGAGAGAGGAGGGCAAGATGCCGCGCTGTTACATGGTGAAGAAGGCCCTGTGCAACAAGTACATAAGCAGCGTTGCCAGAGGATTCGAAAGCTGGGGTCGTGGAAGGAGCCCGCCATCGCCAACCACCATGCAGATACCAGTCTCGCCCATAGAAGGCAGCGTTGCACCCCCTGTTGCTCAAGGTACGACCGCTCTTACTATTATAACCCCTGTTACTGTAATTAAATCAGCTACTCCGGTGGTCCATGATGGACAGGTTTATAATATCATTATACACGTATTTATGGTACCCTTTGAATATTATTTCATCGCTTAAATGGTACAAAATGGTATGGTATTTGTACGGACCAAAAGCGCGGACCTTAAAGAGATCCAACCTCCGGTGCTGCTTACATAGCAAAGAAAAATCGGAAAGATATCGAGCTATTAGTCTTACCGAGCGAATAATAATGATCAATATTTTAGCCGCAGCTATTACGTTCAATTAATGCGAATGTTGCTATTTGTTCGGAATGTCCGTGGTATTGATTCACCCTCTAGCCATATATCGTTCGTCCCGTGTCGGCGCGCTGCAGGAGCGAGCGTTTCGTCGCAGCAAAGAAAAACCAACGAAAAATCATCTGCAGCCGTTGCTCGAAAATATTTCATAAATCTCGAATAATTTATAACGAAAATTAAATTCTTCAGTTTAATACGAGGTCAGAATTAAAACAGAGTACCGCGTCGTTATTAACGAACAATCTTCTCTAATTAACTGAGATATAATTTAAAAAGCGCACGATCGTGAATACAATTTTTTCAAAATGAAACTCGCAAAGAGAAATACGATGGTGCTTAAAGAAAAATGTAAACGGGGAGACGCGAAACGTGGCGGAGGTGGCAATTTCTAGGTACATTGGTGCAATTCGCGGTAAACGCATTACTCGTCGCGGGGCAAAGCTACATTAATTGTCTGAATTGTTGTTGCCGGTGGCGGCGTTTCAAGCGACGGCCCCGTTTTGTAAGGCTCGGTTTATGCCTCGTGTTCGTAATCGAGTGAATGAGAAAGTGTCATGCGAAACTTGTGCCGGAGACGTTAATGGAGCTACAAAGACCGCACTTAAGACTCGTTACAATGCCTGCACACGACTGCGCCAGCTTTCTAGTCGAACCAGGCCAATCGAAAGCAAATTACCAAAAAAAGTAAATCTCTAATTAGGAGGAGAATAATTTTACAATGATTTTCAACGTTTTCTTTAATCAATTTTAAATTCAACAATGAAAGTCATCCGGTGACTAAACGCAGGTGAATAACAACGGAACAACTGGGTGCGCTTTGAAAAGACTAAAAGAGCTGGTGGTCCTCTGGCAGAAGCGGTGCTTGCTCGAACGAAACGCGCAGTTTCATAACCGAGTTATCGTGAAATTTTATATCCGCTCGGTCGTACACTTTCCTTAGCCATCCACTCATCCCCTTTGACCTCCTTTCCAACATGCTTGCCGTCATAATCCCCCCCGCCCCATGCCGTCGTGCCCGCGCCATTTCAACCACCAGCTTCGACACCGTTCACTGCCACGTCTACAACAGCGGCTAGAGTTCCTCGTCTTTCGTGTTCGCTCGTTAAATCTCGATTAAAAAGTCAAATTAAGAAATCGAGTTACACGCTACTCGTCAGGTGACTTGTTAATATCGTGAACGAAGGGGAGAAAGAAGAAAAAAAAGAAAAAAAGAAAAAAGAAGGGGCTGACAATCCTTTTTCGCCCCCTTTTCCTCGACCTTTCTATTACGTTTCTTTTCGAAGAAATAAAAACGGCTCGGTAGCCGGTCTACGCTGGTTGCCGAATAAAGTTTTCCCGCTACAAACGAAATTCCAGTCGCCGGGTTTATTGAATCTCGCGAACGAGAGGGATTCTTCTCGTTCTCTACCAAGAACTCGCTCTTTTCGAGCTTAATTGCTACTCCCGAAGCGTTAAGATTGATCGATGCTTCTTGCCGTGTTTCCAACAGTCTCGTGGCTTCGGCAATTATTTTCTTGCATCAGTTTATTTTCTTCTTTCAAGTTCGGAGTACGCCACTAGGGATCTGTACTTGAAAAGTAAAACTGTAAAAATGATACGGGTATTAAGATTTTAAAGAGAAATCCTTTTTTTACGATTACAGAGTACCTGAGCGCGCAGTCCCAGGAAACGAGAGCGACGACAGGAAGGAAAACAGCGGAGCAAGAGGTATCCAGGGAGAGGCTAAACGAGCCGAGCAATGGGAACGCGACATCCACGTCGAACGCATCGAGCAATGCCATCATCGTCGCGACGGAAGCTCCAGCGATCGTCGCACGGACAGAGACGACGACGACGACGGTGATTACCTGTACCACAGGTTCCTCCTCAATAATTATCCCAGCAGCAACAGAGTCCATCGGTTCCAGCGTCGAGAATACGACAATGGTGACGTCCGCGTTACCGTTCACCGCACCCAGATCGCCGTCCAGTACAGTCACGGAACAACAGATGAGCGTGCTTCATCATTTGCCACCGGGAGAGCCGTCTCCTCCTTCGAGTACAGCGACGCCGTATCATCTGGAAGAAAGCACCAATCATTCGACGTCCGAATCGAGGATAGGGTCCGATTGCAACGTCGTCGTTACCAACTACGCGTCCTCGATGTTCAAAGATCGTTCCGCAGCTGAAACGGAAGCCGCTCATGATCTGTTAGAATTGTCGAGGTCTCTGCCACCCTTGCCACCACCCAGCGTCGCCATCGGACCCCAAAGCGTAATCGAGACTCCCGCGACCGACATCCAAGAGATGACCGTCTACCAACCGGACCAACCGATCTACCAAGTGAACACCATCGACTTAGCCAGCTCCACCGTGTACACCCATCACCAGCAACAGCAACCACCCACCGCGAGCATCATCTACGAGCCAAGCGCGACGATCGTTCAGCAAACGGGCAGCGTGTTCATACCTCTGTCGCCGGTGCAAGAGATCCTGCTGACCTACAGCACACCGTCCATCCCGTGCACGCCGATCGTTGCCCAGCAACCGCCGCAACCGCCACCGCTGCAGCAACAGCAGCTTCAACAACACCAGCCCATCGAGACTGCGCCACCGCTCACGCCCCCTACCTCCGAGTGCAGCAGCGACATAGAGAACAACAATCCCAATTCGCAGCCCAGCCAAAAGGACAAGGAGGTGCAGACGGTGACCGAACAGACGGAAGTAAAACCGGCCAGTTATACCTATGACACTCTACTGGTGGCCGATGGAAGGTCGAAGAACAAGAAGATCGCACCCAGTCAGAAGAACCAGGAGACCGAACCCATCGAGACACCGGAGACGTCCAAGATCGGTCGTTACGTCTGTTGCGAGTGTGGTACGTGTTCGGGTTACGTACTGTAATTTCTCAAATTCACTGTGAAAATTCACCTTTTTCCAGGTAAACAATACGCAACATCCTCGAACCTATCGCGGCACAAGCAAACCCATCGCAGCATCGACTCCCAATCGGCGAAGAAGTGCATCCACTGTGGCAAGGCGTACGTGAGCATGCCCGCCCTGGCGATGCACGTGTTGACACACAAGTTGACGCACAGTTGCGGCGTCTGCGGCAAGATGTTCTCCAGGCCTTGGTTACTGCAAGGTCATCTCAGAAGTCACACCGGGGAGAAACCATACGGTTGCGCCCACTGCGGCAAGGCGTTCGCCGATCGGTCCAACCTGCGCGCCCACATGCAAACCCACTCGGCCGATAAGAACTACGAATGTCACAAGTGTCACAAGTCGTTCGCGCTCAAGTCCTACCTGAACAAACACCTGGAATCGGCCTGCCAGAGGGAGAACGACGAGAGCAGCAACGACGTCGATACGCCCCAGTAACCGTGTTCCTTTTCGATGGACGCTTGTCGACGCTGGGGTCTTTAATGTTCATCCGGTGAGTCGGTGGATACCTCGACGAAGATATTTTAATTTTGATTTTAGTTTGCGTTCTTTTCGCCGCGATTGTACCTCTTGAGTATAGTTAGCCGCGGAGATATAGCATGATCTTAAAATTTAAAATATAAATAGTTAATTTTATTTTTTTTGTTACTTTCTTTTTTACTAGTTATTCAAGGACTGATTCATGTACCAACTTTTCTCTTTCAGTCAGGTTCGCGTGAAAGAAGCGTAAAACCTTCCTGGACGATGGGTCAATTCGATAACTTCAGCGACGACAGTGAATTCCTTGCTTCAACTTCCTCGAAAACTTTTCGAGAGCATCGAAGTTCAGAACTACACACGAGGAGAAAGGTCCGTGAAGCGAGGCAATCGAGCGTTTCTTGTCGTCATCGTCGATGCCACAGGTGATCTTTCGCCTTTCGAACAGAAATCTTCATCGTCGTACGGCATCCAACGCGACCTGGATATGGGTAAGCGAACGATGGTTCATTAAATCCACGGTCAATGTGAGAAAAAGAAAACGGTTCGTTAGAGACGTCTGGGAATTTCATCCCCTTGGATTTTATAATCAGAGAAACGAAGAAGATCCGAAGGGGTTAAAATTCTAAAGAAAGAGGAGAAAGTGTTTTGAACGTACATACAGGGATACTGTTTAAGGCTACGCTTAAAAGGAACGGCGATTTTCTTGGCATCGATCGCGGACACGATGCGATTCAAACGGCATTCCTCTTGTCCCTCCGCAGTCAACGGAAATCCGTTCACCGTCTGGTAATCGATATTCGAAACTCGAGGGAAACGAAACGAAACGAAACGGCAATCGTTCGTTCCCAATGCTTGCTCGCGATTAAGAATCGACGAGGCTTTTTCGGTAAACGCGGCTACAGCCGAATTGATGCAATACTATCGAGGGACCATCAATTTGTGAGTAAAATTCATTTCGATACGACGATCGGGTCGAGAATCAAAGAGCTTTTTCGAGGATAGACATAAACAGCTTCGGATTCTCAAGCTTTTATCGTTAACTACTTTATCCTCTTCGATACTCGAAACTTTGGACAAACTTGGCCACGATCATCCTTTTATCTTGTCTTCTTCGTTTTGTAAGAAACCTGTGTCTATTCTCTTTACCTGGAACAGCAAACACTTTGTACTTTATTCGATTAATTGATTTAAGATATTTTATTTGATCATTTACCTGGATTTTAGGGTAAACAGCGTACCTGAATTTCGTGAGATAAACGTATCATAAAATGCTACTTAAATGTTTCGTTCTAATATTCTGTATGGAAAATGGCCGATTCGTGGTGGACGGTTAGGCGAAAACTTTTCTCCCAAATTAGAAATTTCCTCGAGACGTCTGGGAAGAGTCGTTTTTCCGAAAGTTCTATCGACGCCGTCGGCGTACAATGCAGGTAGAGAGGGGCAGAGGGCACACGTCGAAGGTTTTCATCAACATTTCACGTGAACTGGACCACCTGTTGAATGCAGGAATGACCATTCGGTGGCAAAAGGGTCGCTCGTTCTGCTTCCCTGAATTATAGAACGTCCTCCTGTAATTTCCTCATTGTTAAATACGCGAACTGAATCGCGATTCCGTCGCTTTCAATCGTCGAATGTAAACGTTAGACCATCTTCGTTCCGATGATTTCTAGTCCATATGCTCTTTCAATCGCTATCCTAGTCGTAACACGTTATTTCCTTCTAGTCTATTTAATCTACTCGTTTAATTATATCCAAAGTACTTGAAGACTCCAAATTGTCCATGTGATATTAATTTAGTATTTCCTCGTCGAGTAAGGCACGACTTGAAAAACGGAAGGAACAAGAGGAATGCCGAGCAATGAAATAAAATAAAATTAAATTGTCTGGTCAATGGAAAACCAAAAAGAAAAATAAACTGAGGAGGAGGAGAAGAAGAAGAAGATGAAGAGACTTACCCTCTAGTCAGCGAGCTACGCTTGAAATGTATCGTTTTATCTTAGGTTGCCCTACGATAAAGGGGCAGGCGTATATAGTCAGGGTGGAAATTTTCATTTCGTTCGTCCGTGTGTTGCTTTCATCGTGAAAAACCGCGTTTTTTATATCACGTAGAGATATTTTGGTACGAGACATTTTCAGCGATTAGAGACGAAATAGGGTTGACGAATGAATTGCGTGTAAATCGGTTTATTCGCGTAGAGTAATTCAAAGGGCGCGAACCGGAGAGCTTTAACGGTGTTTAAGTTGTAAAATGCATAGATCAACCCGCGAGTGATTCAGAAGAAGATATATTAAACAGGCTATCGTTCTGAATCACCTGCGCGTTGCTTAATAAATAAGTTTTAAAGTCAGAAATAGACTTGCCTAACGCTTTCTAATAAGACTTAGATTATTAAACCTCGTGGCTGTTGACTTGTACATAAATCCCGTTATTTTTTCACGTTCTTATTAAATGATTTAGCATTTAAGCGTAAGGTTCCTAGTCATGGCGATCGTTACATTTATATTTTTTCGTGATCGTTTTCATTCGTACGAGTTAAGCGAGTCTGGTTCTGACTGAGCTCTAATGAAATAAAAAATCAAGAAAAAGGGAACAGCGTTATCCTGATATCGTTCTGTGCGTTCGTTTCTACGGGACATTAGCAGTATTTCTTGTCCTGATTCGTTGAAACAAGAATCGACCTGGTTAAAGTAGGTCGTACGCAATTTCGTCGCACCCTTTAACGAATTATTATTATCCACAGTTAAAAAAAAAAAAACAGTCTCGTCTTCACGCTGTATTACGATACTCGACAGTCAATCGAATCTCTAATTAATTAGAGTTAACCTCGTAACGATAGTCAATAATAAAAACAAAGGATAATGAACTGTAACGTTATCTCAAGGCGAATCGTTCCGCGTTGCGGCAACGAACCGCAGTGCTGGGAAACTTTTTAATCATCGTCGACATAGATTTTCAACTTCATCAATTATCACAGAAACGGATAATTCTCTCTAGAGCTCTTGCTCCGTCGCTCGATAGAGGAGATCGAAAATTCACCTCCTCTCTTAGTACGTTAAATTTTACTCTATTTCGTATATACATATTTTGTTGGTCGCGTGACAGAGTGAAATTTCGACGACGATCGTCGGCTCGCCTCGTATGGCGAAAGGCTTTCGGTTCGTTGCCGTTGTCGACGAATGTTTCGCCGTTTCAAAGATGTTCTCGAAATGAATAGCGCAGCTTCGGGGCTTGCCGACGCGATTTCCTCGACGCTTTTCTCGACAGAGAAAAGACACGATAACGCGTGGAATTCATTGAACGAGCCGGGGGAGAAACGGTATCGCAAGCCGCAGAACTGAACTCGCGAATACAAACTAACGTTAGATCGTCGCCGTAGTGTACTTGAACGCAAAGAGAGAAAAAAATACAAAAAAAAAAAAAAAAAATGAAAAAAGAGGTGGTAATTATTAACGATATTAACGGACAGTCGACACTATTTTTTAGATATTGAAATACGATTTAAGCCAGGACCAAGGACGATCATGCCTCGTACGTTTCTCGGTCCAGGGGAGAGCTTCTTGTGCTTTTGTCCGGGATATGAAACACGCTTCTTTCTATCGGCTGTTGCGCTAACAATTTCCGATCAATCGTGCACGTGTACGACGATGGTCCGAGCGATGCTTAAAATCTTCAGTCACGAGACAAGAATTGCACTGACCTAGAACAGGGTATTTTAGAAAATTAAATACGCTTAGCGTTTCTTTCGTAGAGGCAAGGTGTCCTCGGATTACCGACAAAAGGATAACAGCAATATACAGGGTGTTAAAAATTCCCTAAAAACCTCTACACCGTTGAATAGATCACAAAAAATCGAAGCGAAAAGTTCTGTAGCATTTTTCGATGGGATCAGTAGTTTAGCCACATTTCGTTGTTGAAAATTGAAGAAATTGACCAATCAGCGCGCGGTTTGAGTGGCAAGATTGTATTCCGTTTCCATTAGACTCTCGGCGCATGCGTAAGTGCAACGCACAGCGGCGCATGCGTAAGTACGACGCACAGCGGCGCATGCGTAAGTACGACACACAGCAGCGCGGCTCGTCGGCGGCAGAGGAGGCTAGTTCCCTACTCCGCATATCGTGCCACTCAAGCTCCGCGCAGATTGGTCAATTTTTCAATTTTCAACAACGAAACGTGGCTAAACTAGTGATCCCATCGAAAAATGCTACAGAACTTTTCGCTTCGATTTCTTGTGATCTATCCAACGGTGTAGAGGTCTTCAGGGAATTTTTTAACACCCTATAAATGTAAAAGCTTATCCTTATTTTGAGAACACCCTGTGTTGTATGGTTTGAGGTAACTCGACTGTTTGCAACAGGTCAGCTTAATTAATTTATATAATCCAAAGGAAATCTATCTTGTTAAGCTAAAGCACACTCTTGTTACTTAAACGCCTTATCACGGGTAATTGATCTATATTCGTGACAATTTTTTTTTTACGCCAGACACCGTATCGCTTCGTTTTCATTTATTCCTTCTTTCCTTTACATCATAGCTAATTGCCCGGAGTTGCGTCGTACTCGTTACCGTCACGAAGCCTCGCTTAACAGAATTTTCTAGTAGATAAAAAGCAACCGACCCTTCCCAAGCACGATTAAACGGTACCGTTGATATAATGAAAGGATACTTATTGCCCCGTAGATGTAAAGTTTGCCCGATGAATAAGTACATTAATGAAAAACGAGAAGAGATTCTTTTCATAGTTCTATCGTGGCGAAAGGCCGATATTATCGTTTCGACGCGTCGCTTAATTAAATATTAAAAGATTCTACAGAGGACCAAAGTACTTAAAACATAAACTGTACGCCAAAACCGTGGCGCTCTTAAAACAGCGGTAAATGTAATTGATATCGCTTTCGTGCTGATACACGTTGTCGATATACAACGGAAATCGATGGAAAAAGAGAAACAGGGAAAGATCAAACGAAAAATAAACAGAGAGCTGGCTGTTAACACGGTTAAAAAAAAAGAGAACAACGAAAAACAACGTGACAAAAATTATTGTCCGTGTACATGTAACTTAATTAATTAATTAATTTACTAGGAGACAGGCGCACGATATGCTATGTGTATATGTGTATGTACCATGTATGTTAGTCGAACATGTTCTACGCAGAAACATTTTCGCGGCAACGATTGCCTCTGATTAATTTCAAAACGTTGCCGCACCAGTCGCCTGGAAAACGAGAAAATGAATGATTTAATCCGCCTAGCTCGTACAATTGTTCATTTCCTTTAATACTTTCGAGATTGAAATCGTAATTTAATGCTTACACTGTATACACGTATTTAACCTTCCTTATGCCTCGAAAGTCTTTACCATAGATTGATACCGTTTCACGGATCTTGAGATTATTATCGATCAGACTTCCGCTTCGTTTTCAAGGTTTTCTAAATCTGTAGGTTAGAACGACGTTATTCGTTGCGAGGCAGGGGAACGTGAAAAATAAATTATCCATTGCACGTTGAACGGGTAATTTGCGGGCCACGGATAAGAAATAGGTTAACCTTTAATAAATGCAATTATGAAATTAATTAGAGCGCGATCCGAGCTTACCTCCGTATACACGATAATTTAGAATTTCGCTCGAGTTTCATGCAGAGTCGATAAATACGAAAACTGCACGTAAACTAATGCCGTCGGAATCGTTTCACATTCACATACGCGCGCTCACGCTGAATCAGTGGAACCAGCTGAAAATGTAAAAAAAAAGAGAAACAATAAACCAGGAGAGAAGCAGGCATGATCATCAGTAAACCTGGCTTTTGTGAAAAGGACAAAAAAAAAATGAGGAAAAAGAGGAAAAGATGTAAAAAAAAAAGGGAAAAACGTAAAGTAAAGAAAAAACATAGAGTTTAGATTAGTGTGATACAAGGTACGACAAAGCAATAATTTAGTGATTGTATGATATATTTGATTAGTGACTTAGCGAGCTAAGTTTAATGGTAAACTTTCGGAACTTATAAATACCTACTTGATAAATATTATAGTTTTGTAGAAACACTGAGAATATTTGCCACTTGAGAGATGAGATGAAAAAAAACGCTGTCTTGGGATCAAAGATATAGCGACAAACGTCGAGAAAGAATTAGTGAAATGTGCAATCTATGGTCGGCTTACATGACCCACGATAATGTTTTTTAACAATTTTCTTATCCTCGAAATTTTCCTCTGTTTCTTTTCAAATTGCGCGTCGACGAGGATTCTGCAACAAATTGAAAAGTAAATGATTTTTATCTTTCAAATTGTTTCTATAAAAAAATTCAAACCTCTATAGCAATCCAAGCGAAACAGTATTTTTACCGATGCGCGAATCGTGTTGGTGCCAAAATGTCATTATGATTCGATGATCGATTGCTTCGAAGAATCACAGAAACTCAATAAATGAAACAATTAAGGTGCTAATCTGCAATACAAAGCGGAATAAGAATTTTAATGATTCGTGAACATTCGCGATCAGAAAAAATGGCGATGTAGGGGAAACAGGAATTCTCAAAATCTTAATTTCGACGATACTAATAATTAATAGTAATATAGAAACAAAATAATACAATTTTTAATTATTATATATTATAGAATTTAGTATATAACTGAGAAATATAAATAATAAGGTAAATGGTAATTCAAATTTTCCCGCGTAAGCCTTTACATACCAGTGGTGGGGCGCCACGGATCTATATATACGGAACCTCTTCCCCTGCATCGTCATTCTCTCCGAGGATGCCCATGGGTGAGCGTGGTAACGTAAGGTATCGCTTCTTCTGGGGGAAGCCTGATTTGACCGTGAGTGTACCTACTGACGTTATATGTTGTGCGTCACGTGATTTTTGTTTGAAACTGTTTTGATATCGATCGGAAATAACATTTCACTCGTTCCAATTGTACGCCTTTCTTTTGATATTCGAAGAGAGCATTTTTTATAAAATCTTACACGTATGTAAGTATTGCACGAAAAACAAAGGTGCAAATATCTTTGCCAATCTTTTCGTAACACAACTTGTGCACGAGAAACAAAAACTAATCCATACGATTATGGGTTGAGAAATGCTGGTTGGAAACTATTTTTATGCGCGCGCTTTTTAGAACGTGAAACTTTTTTTTTTATATATTTGAAACTTTTATAATAGTGTAGTTCGTTCCGTTCAATATGCGAACATGTATATAAGATCTATTATATAACTTCTTTAATCCTGAATAAATACGTTTAATTGATTTCAAAAAAAGAATTACAAAAAAGGCGCGTCAAAATAAGAACAAGCAAATTTTTCAATCCGATACTTTTCTTTGAACGTTCAAACAATATTCCCAAGAGCGTCTCGGCTCATAAAATAAATTTTTAAAAAAAAATCCCAAGACTGATAGTGAATATATCGAGATGCATGCACATCCGATTTGTTTAAACCTACGTCTAAACGAGCTCAAAGCTTACCTTATGAAAAATCGTTTTTAAATGTTCTGACTTCACGAATAATGCGTATGTGTGTAAGTTTGTATGAGAGAGATAAAGAGAGAGATAGGAAGAGAAAAAAATGAACGAAGGTCTACATTTTTCATATCCTTCGACGCAACTTACTCTCGTTTTAAATACATACTTCCGGTGTCTCTTATCCACCGGAAGTTGCTAGCCTGCAATTTGTTAGTTATCTTTAATCGATAACTGTTTTGGTGTTGAATGATGTTATTATAATTTAAAATAATTTAGTTTTAGAAAACCCCACGACATAAACGTGTACAGAGATGAAGTGTTAAAAATCTTACCAACGAAAAAGACCTTCGTCGTTTTTTTTTTTTTAAATTTCCATCATAAATATATGTATATGAACCTTTAGTATACAGGAAAGAAAACAAAGTAGAACTGTTTTCGTTTCATTTTTATTAAACGATGTCTAATTTATGCACATTCGTACACGCATTATTTTTAATTGGGCTGCACCAAAGATTTCGCCAAAATAAAACTCAACAATTAGTGATAAAAGGAAACAGTAATGTAACAGGTTATCAATGTACTTACAGTATTTAAGGATAAAAACAATTTAATTGCACTACATTTGTAAACTTTATTAATTATACGTTGCAAAAAACTGATGTCATTTGTTGTTGTCATTTATTTTAGTCTTGAAAAAGAAAAAAAAAAGAAAAAACAATGTTACGATTTTAACAAAATAATTACTCTTTATACAATTATATCTGAACAATAAAAGTTACATGTCCCTTGTACCCTTATTTTACACTCTGCATAAAATGTTATCGCGCAAAATTTATAAATACAGTACTGCAAAAATTTTAATAGTTTATATTACGTACTTTTATACAACTTGGTTTTCATTATAAAAAAACTCCGTTGATTAATAATCAATAGTTACGGTGACGATGAGTACAAGCAATACTAAATCGGTGTAAAAAGATAAAGGTATTTTCCAAAATAGTTGCTAATTTTTTGAATAACTTTTAAGCTTGAACAGCTTATACACATTGTAAATATGATCTATACAATCGATGCAATCGAATGCACACTCATATATTACTACTTATTACAATTATATATTTCAAACTATAATACAAAATACTTAACAAGCTATAATCCATGATAGTATTATAATTATAATCGCTGGTGCGGTTGATTTTGAGAACTGCTATCTGAAACTGCGTCCGACGATGGAGGAACTTCTTTCTCTTCCTTATCAGATTTCTTTGTTTTATTCCATTCCTGTAAACCTTTTGGTAAGCTGGTATCTTCCTCGAACGAACCTGTCCCTTCGACAAATTGTTCGTACGTTGACTTTTCAGGGAACGGTCTAGGTCCAAGCAATTCTATCATGTCATCTCTACTTAAAATTTCTTGTTTCAATAACCGTTCAGCAACCTAAAGAGAATTCAAAATATTTCACTTATTCAGTTCAGTATGAAGTAATTGTAAATTATATAAATTAACATTCCATACCTTGCTTACGTTGTCCTTGTGTTTTGTAAGTAGTTCACGCGTATGGACATGCGCCCTTTCGATTAACGCGCGTACTTCAACGTCGATTAGCTGTGCCGTATGTTCGGAATATGGTTTATCAAATGTCATATCACCCTGTTGTGGCATTTGGAAACTAACATTACCAACTTTTTCGTTCATACCGAACTGAATGACCTGAGCATATGCACTTTGAGTTACCTGGTAATAAACAAAATCTTTTATATTAGTATAAATTAATTTTTAATAAATATAATAATATCTGAGAAAAGGTTATTTAAATAGAACAGTACTTTCTGTAAATCATCTTGTGCTCCTGTTGTTATGCGACCAAAAAATATCTCTTCTGACACCCGTCCTCCAAGTGCCATACACATTCTATCGAACAACTGTTCTTTCGTATAAAGATACTGTTCGTGTGGTAAATACTGGGCATAACCTAAACCTTTACCACGAGGAATTATGGAAACCTGCCACAATTAATATAATGATTCACCTAAATTAGATTAAATAAAGGTTGTTCGCGATGAGTGAGAAATTATACCTTCAACAATGGATCCGCGTATTGTAGAAACCAACCTGCTACCGCATGCCCAGCCTCGTGATATGCAACTGTTTTTTTCTCCTCAGGTTGCAAAACATTCGTTTTCTTTTCCATGCCTGCAATCACTCTTTCAATGGCCTGTTCAAAATGTTTTATTTGAATGTTATCGTTCAAGTCTCGGGCCGCTATTAAAGCCGCTTCGTTGCATACATTAGCAATATCAGCACCTAAAACAATCTATGTACAAACAACACTTTTTTGAAAAACTTCATTACCTTCAAATCATTCTCATACCGGTGAATCCAGGGGTTAAGGAAGCCATTTTTCTAGCTAACTGATCTTTGTCTACTGTAGTTTTCAAAGGTCCTAAGTGTACTTTAAAAATAGATGCTCTTCCCTTAATGTCTGGCGCGGAAACGTAAATTTGTCTATCAAATCTTCCAGGTCGTAATAATGCTTTATCTAAAATATCTATCCTATTAGTTGCCGCTAAAACCACTACGTTGGTAGTCGTATTAAATCCTAAAGAAGAAGAAGAAAGAAAATAATGATTAATTAAATGCTGAATTTAAAACTGATGTTTGATGTCAACTATTATAATAACAACCATCCATTTCTACTAAAAGTTGATTAAGTGTGTTTTCTTGTTCCGAGTGACCACCGAAATTTCGTCCACCTCTTTTTCTTCCAACAGCATCAATTTCATCAATGAACAATATACACGGGGCATGCTTTCGTGCCATTGCGAACATATCACGAACTCTCGATGGACCGACGCCAACAAACATTTCCAGGAATTCGGAACCTGACACACTGATAAAAGGAACGTTCGCTTCACCAGCTGTAGCCTTAGCTAACAGTGTTTTGCCTGTACCAGGTGGACCTATAAAATATATTAATTAACACATCAAGTATACAGGTATATAATATGAAGAAAAATTATATATAGTTATATCATTACCCGTCAACATGGCGCCTTTAGGAATTTTAGCACCAAGTTCAACATACTGTTGTGGATTTTTTAAAAAGTTTACGAATTCCATGATTTCAATTTTTGCTTCTTCACAGCCAGCAACATCCCTAGATTTTCACAATATACAGAGAAATACGGATAATAATTTTATATTAACATAAGTGATAACTGAAAAATTACTCCAATATCCTTAAAGAATGTTGAACAATTGCATACAATCTTTTCCTACTCTCTAAACAGACTACATTGTTCCAATAATTCCCTGTAATTTATATTATAAATTACGTTATTGCTATTTAATTCCTCTTGCTTTATCTTTTCTCATGCCACTCTATGTATTCTAGAAAAAGCCCAGAGTAGAAAAAAATTGTTTACAATTTATGATTAATTACCTGAAATGATATAACATTGATTAACATTATCTTTACCAACTTACTTAAATCGAACACCAATATCTTTAGAATTGATTAATTTTGCAGTTGATTCCATTACTGAACCAAATAGTCCTTTCTTTCCTCTACCAAACTGTGCCATTGACTTCCGGAATAAAAAAAACAGAACCCCTACAATTAAGAAACATTGCGATTAGCGAAAGAAACGAATGAAAAAA